TGTTGCTTTAGTGCTGCGCCGTTGGAATTAGATCCAAAGTTCTCCACAATAAAAAAATAAATAAATGTGTCTCGTCTTTGGCAGATCGACGAGGTCCTGCGTCAGGAGGACAAGGCGGACGTGATGTCGGGTCACATCGACCAGCTGCTCATCGCCACCATCATGCAGCTGCGCCTCGTCAACAGCACGCACCTGGCCGACGACCGCGTGGACAAGAGGGACGTCATCAAGCTGTACAGCTGCATCATCGGGAACATGCTGTCGGTGAGTCAACAGGGCCCGAGATCACTGGGAACAGGGGGGATTTAGTTATTTAGTTTAACTAAGACCCCGGATAAGCGGTGGACAATGGATGGATGGATGGATAAAGACCTAAGAGCCTATAGGCCTATTTAGAACACACTAAATGCAAATAGATAAAATAGATTGAGATTCACTACTTAATTTTCTCAGGTGAATATATATGCGCTATTAAATAAACTTCACAATAACACAAAAACACAATATCAACCAACATGAACCAGTGTTGATTAGGCCTGAAAATAATTCTATTAAAATCCAAATACATGTAATAGTAAAATAAAAAAGTCCAAATCATTTCCCAAAATATTCATAGGAAATGTAGAAACTGTGCAATATATTTTTAATACATTTTTAAAAATCTCCCTCACGCCACTTCCTGTGGCCGTGTGAGTAGTAGTCTGAGAGCTTTTACAAAATACCTATGAGCCTATAGGCCTATTTAGAATACAATTAATGCAAATAAATAAAATAGATTGAGATTCACTACTTAATTTTCATATACAGTTCTGTTAATTAAACTTCACAATAACACAAGATCAGCTAACATGAACCAGTGTTGATTAGGTCTCAAAATAACTATATTAAAATACAAATACATGTAATAGTAAAATAAAAAAGTCCAAATCATTTACCAAAAATATTCATAAGAAATGTATTAATGTGTATTGGGTAATACATTTTTAAAAAATCTACGCAGACTACAGTAGTAGTCTGAGAGCTTTTACAAAAGACCTATGAGCCTATAGGCCTATTTAAAATGCAAGAAATGCAAGTAAATAGAATAGATTGAGATTCACTACTTTATTGTCATATCCACTTCTATTAATTAAACTTCACAATAGGTATAGGACGGTTTCTGAAAACCGTCTGAACCGTTGGGTTGGACTGTTTCGGTTCGGTTGGCGTGTGTTGCGTTCGGTTCCTGCTGCTCCTTTTTCTCAGAGGGAAGCGTTTACACTCCAGAGCAGAAGGGGGCGCTACTGCACCCAAAGCCAACTACCAGTAGGAAACAAGAAGAAGAAGAAGCGTAGCCGATAAAAATCAGACGCGCCAACAGCATTTATAGGTCTGCTGTTTATGTTTATGTTTATGTTTATGCATTTGGCAGACGCTTTTATCCAAAGCGACTTACAGAGTAGACACAATATTACATTTATCATCACTATGACAATAAGCTATATAGAGAAACACTGATCAGAGTCAGTGGTGAGATAGAGATAGAGGTAGAGGGGCTACAGAAGGAGCTGTGGGGGGGTAGAGGTACGGGTTAGGGTTAGGATAGGAGATGCTCTTTGAAGAGGTGGGTCTTCAAGAGTTTCTTGAAAACAGACAGGGACTCTGCTGTTCTTGTGGAGCTTGGTAGGTCAATCCTCCATCTTGGAACGACACATGCAAACAGTCTGGATTGTCTTAAGCGTGGTGAAGGCACTGCTAGACGACAATCCATTGATGACCGGAGTGATCGAGTTGTGACATAAGCCTTTGCAAGGGGATTCAAGTAGATGGGAGCCATACCCTTAAGCACTTTGTAGGCTAGCATCAGGGACTTGAATTTGATACGGGCAGCCAGAGGTAACCAGTGGAGTTCAATGAACAGAGGGGTGACGTGAGATTTTTTGGGCAGATTGAAGACCAGACGCGCCGCCGCGTTCTGGATCATTTGTAAAGGTTTTACTGTACAGGCCGGGAGACCAGTCAGGAGTGCGTTGCAATAGTCTAGGCGGGAGATGACCATAGACTGCACCAGGAGCTGGGTAGCATGTTGTGTTAGGTACGGCCGGATCTTTCTTATGTTTAGTAATGCGAAGCGACAGGATCCAGAAACAGAGGCAACGTGATCTTTAAAGGTCAGCTGGTCATCAATCATGACACCCAAGTTTCTTGCTGCCTTTGATGGAGTCAGAGAGAGGGATTCAGTTTGGATGTGAATATTGTGGTGAATAGTTGGTTTGGCTGGAAAGACAAGCAGTTCAGTTTTTGAGAGATTCAGCTGGAGGTGGTGGGCTTTCATCCATTTTGATATGTCAGAGAGACAGTCTGAGATGCGTGCTGAGACCGAGTGGTCATCAGGTGGGAATGACAGATAGAGCTGTGTATCATCAGCATAGCAGTGGTAGGAGAAACCATGTGATTGAATGATCTGGGCCAAGGAAGTGGTATATATAGCAAAGAGAAGAGGTCCAAGTACTGAACCTTGAGGAACCCCTGTGGCGAGGTGGTGCACTGCAGAAGTGTGACCAAGCCAGGATACTTTAAATGATCGACCAGTGAGGTACGACTCAAACCAGGAGTGTGCTCTCCCTGTGATGCCCATACTCGAGAGTATAGACAGAAGGATGTCATGATTGACTGTGTCAAATGCGGCTGATAAGTCAAGGAGGATAAGTACTGAGGACTTGGCATTTGCCCTTGCCTCTTTTAGGGCTTCTGTCACAGACAACAGAGCCGTTTCAGTGGAGTGGCCACTTTTAAACCCAGATTGATTTGTATCAAGGAGATTGTTTTGTGAGAGGTAGTCTGTATGGACCAGTTTGCATTTAGAGGGAAGCACATGTTGGAATTAGCACTGTCTCCTCTCCTAATGCCAGAATCTCACCTACTTTTAACCTCAGACTGTCACAATAATGGATCAAATGTCAGACTGCTTTTTTCTTTCAGTTTTAACCTGACTATACAAGACATAATAGATTTTCCTAACAATCAACATATACCGAACCGAAAACCGGGACCACAAAACCGTGAATCGAACCGAACCGTGGATTTTGTGAACCGTCCCACCCCTACTTCACAATAACACAAAAACAGCCAACAGCTAACATGAACCTGTGTTGATTAGGCCTCAAAATAATTCTATTAAAATCCAAATGCATGTAATAGTAAAATAAAAAAAGTCCAAATAATTTCCCAAAATATTTATAAGAAATGTATAAAGTGTGCAAAGTATTTATTTATTTATATCTATTTTTTAAATACTGCACAAAGTATTTTTAATACATTTTTAAAATATCTCCCTCTCGCCACTAGGGGGTGCTACAGCACCCCCACTTCCTGTGGCCATGTGAGTAATTGACAGACTACAGTAGTAGTCTGTGAGCTTTTACAAAAGACCTATGAGCCTATAGGCCTATTTAAAAAACAATAAATGCAAATAAATAAAATAGATTGAGATTCACTACTTGTCATATACACTTCTATTAATTAACCTCAAAATAATTCTATTAAAATCCAAATACATGTAATAGTAAAACAAAAAAGTCCAAATCATTCCCCAAAATATTAATAAGAAATGTGTAAATTGTGCAATTTTAAATACTGTGCAGAGTATTTTTTATATATTTTTAAAAAATCTCCCTCTCGCCTGTGGCCATAGTAGTGGTCTGTGATCTCAGGATGCCCTGACCCCCCCCCGTCCCCCCCCCCCCTCCCCCTCAGCTCTTCCACATGGAGGCCCTGGCCAGAGAGGCTTCCACGGGCGTGCTGAAGGACCTGATGCACGGCCTGATCACCCTGATGCTGGACAGCCGGGTGGAGGACGTGGAGGACGGGACCCAGGTCATCCGCTCCGTCAACCTGCTGGTGATCGGCGTCCTGGAGAACTCCGACCAGACCAACATGATCAGGTCAGAGGGGCTGGAACCCGAGAGTTATGAGGCAGATCCCGTATCTGGGTCGAGCTGGGTTCTTCACAAACAAAAAAATCTTTATCTAATGAAAGAGGTTTAACAAAAAAGGGTTTCAAATACAATGTACAATAAACTATACACATCCGTGCTTCTGGTTCCCTCCAGAGCTAATTTAGTTCTGAGGATGCGTCTTATTTTACGGACGCAATCAAATTAAAAGTCCCAAATCTAAATGACAGTTAAATTACTCCAAACTTACAATAAACATTTCTTCCATTAAATAAACGAACCATAAATCTAAAAATCTAAACGTATAAATTCCTATATTCTAAGTTATATTACCTAATATTCAGATTAGCATCACGGCTCGAACACCGACAGTTTACCGGCTGTAAAATCTATATATAAATGTTAAAAAAAAATATATATATATCAAAAGGAATAAAGTGATTAATAGATAAATGGACTGAAATTCTTGGTGTAGGTTATCTGTTTTTGCCTTGTACTATAACTCCCACCTTTGTGTTCCTC